TTTTTTTTTTTTTTTTTTTTTTTTTTTTTTTTTTGGCTTCAGCGCGGCGCCTGGGTAATGCTAAGAGGACTGTGGACATGGTTGGCGTTTTGTCTTCATTTTGATATTACAAGGACGACCTTTTTCTCTTTTTCTCCTCTTTTTCTACTGCCTTGAACGGCTGGATCCTATCTTCATGTTTTGTTTTTTTACCGGCCCAGCCGTACTCTACGAATACCCCTACTTACATATCCTTCAATGTTCTTCGGTTCGATCTTGATTTTCTGTCGCCCTTTGCTAGCGAAGTCGAAGAACCTAGTCTCTCGGCACTCAATAAAGCGTGGCCATAAAATCCGTCATCAAATTCATGAAAAAGCCTCCGGGCCTACCGTGTTAAGTTTCTTGCTTCTTATTTTATTCTCTCACCAAACTAGTAGAGCGCACTGGCTTGCTTCGTAGTGTAATTGCCAATATTGCTCGCGTCTGAATGATAACTACATGCCTCTAACGGTCATACAACTCCATTCAGAGTAAACCGATGAGAACGGCCAGCAAACATGCCACATGACACAGACCCGGAATCGTACCTAGGTAGGAACCTTTGGCTATGGGTTGTTGACGCTGCAGATTGGAGGGAATTCCCTGATCGTTTACTCTAATCGTGAAGGCTCTACCCCTCAGGGACAACGCTGCTTGAAAGAGGGATATGATTGAATGTTTCAATGAACCGAAGAAATCCGGTACATATGCAAAAATGGTAAAATACACAGATGACTCCAATACACCTGACCCCGAGCAACGCTCCCCATTTTACTCGGCCGATGACCAAGCTCGAGACAGAAGATTATGAACAGAATTTATACATCAGCCTTCACGGTGTCATTAGTAGCGAATGGAACTTCGAAGACAACAGCACAATTGCGGCCTCCCGAAGTGGGGCCTTCATGGAAATTGTTGGTGAAGCACTTCCAGCGAGCCAATCGGTGCTCCTTGCCGACAGCGGCGACGATAGACAAACCACGAGGTTCGTGCGCGGTCTCGGACCTTTTTGATTCAGCACCAGGCATATCAGATTCAGGGCGTCGTTCGAACACCGCGATGTCATTGATGACACCCTTAATCAAAGGCTCTGGCTCTTTTTCATCAGCCGTAGGGGTGGCATCAAGAGCAAGAGTCTGTTTGAGTTGCTGCGAAGGCGTGTCTGGTGGTGTGAAGGTACCAGGTGAGCCTGCACCGATGGGACCCAGAGCGATAAGGGTCTTTTTATCTTCTGAGACGCGCCATGCGCGGATGAAACCGTCCCAGCTGCCACTAAGAACAACGTCGGTACCCGGTAGAGTGGCGAGCGCAGTGATCCAGCGAGGCATGGGGCGCATGTGGCGCGTGTTGTGGGCGGCAGTCGCCTCGTCTACCTCGGGTGATAACACATCCAGAGGGGGGATCGGGTCCAAGCCGTGAGCAAGACGGACGGTGTAGAGTGGCTTCTTCTTGTGAACTGACCAAAGGCAGAGGGAGCCGGAGTCTGAGCCAGTGACGAAGTGGGTGGGTGGAAGGGGGGCAATACAGTCGATGTTGCTCTCGTGGTAAGGGGCATTTCTTGAGGCGCCGCCACGGAACACGAGCTGTGTTTCTTCGACAACCTTCCACAAGCGGGCGGTGCGATCCCGAGCACCAACACTGACACATTCGTCGATGGTCATGGCAGCAACTCCGGTGACATGATCCTGGTGGCCGAAGAGTGTTTCGACATAAGCGTGGCCCGCTCCACTGATGGACCATGTCTTAATTGTGCGGTCGTATGAGCCGGAGAACAACTGCTCCCCGGAACTCATCGCTGAGATATGGCGTGCAAAAGACAAGCTGCAAACTGAGTCTCTGTGCTGCAAGAAGGTCTTGCTTGGCGTCAAAGTCTCTGCGTCCCAGATGATAAGCTTATTGTCCGTTCCACCGGTGGCCACGAATTTGCCGGAAGGCGAGACAGCAACAGATATGATGCTTCCTGTATGTCCTTGATCATCGGCTGATTCGCCGACTTTGCGCATACCACGAGCATATTTTACACGCTTGGGCTTCTTGCGCTGAGCACGCGGAGGCCGCTTGGAACTATCATTATCGCCGTTCAATTCTGTAGAGCCTGGTACACTGGGTGTAGCCAATTCCCATTTGGTCAAAGTTTTATCCTTGGAAACAATGTAGACGAATGGCGGGTGGACTGCAATCGCAGTGTTTGACTGGGTATCTGAGCGGAAAAAGGAATGGGGCGCCGTGGGAATGGATAGTTTCGCAGCGATTTGACGGAATGTGCGTCCTTTAAACTCATCGACGTCCTTCTTCAATCGTTCCGCAATCAAGTCTCGGTCGATATCTGCGGCATCAAACCCAGCTTCGTCGACTTCTTCTTGAATGTTACCCAAGTAGCGTTCAGCGAGTTTCAATCTCCGATCCGCTGCGGTTTCGCCATCTTCGGAGTCAGATCCACTTTCGTCGTCTGACTCTGCCGTATCAATTGCGGCATCTTCGTCCAAGTCACTTCCTGAGATCGATTCTTCTCTGTCTCTGGTGCGTAGACCACCGTCGGCTTTGGCATCTACGCCTCGCTTTTTCGATCCTGGGGCTGCGGCGCGGTCGTCTCTCTTTCTCTTGCGCTGGGAATTGGGTACAGTGAAAAAGGACGACATGGCGACGTTTTGTCAATCCTGTCAGTTCTTGATTTCTGTACAAAGAAATCGAATGTATGGCGTTCTCGAAAGACTAGGACTGCGGAGATCAAAACTTCAACTTTTTTTTGGCAGAAAAAAAAGCGCTAAGCGGCGGCTGACTCAGCAGGTAGCTGACCTCACGGGAGCTCCAGGCGTCAAGCTCACCGCGCGGCCGTCCTCACTTAACCACTACTCCCCTTCGTCTTCTCTGATCATCTAATTGCTTGCTATTTTATTTTTTTATCTCTCATACTGCAAACATGTAAGTGTATGGTAACCTTGTCTCCACGAATAGTTATTAACAGTTTGCTAGGGAGGTTCTTTTGGGTATCGCCGGCAAGGACTTCGTCATTCTTGCTGCATCCAAGGCCGCAATGAGAGGCCCGACAGTTCTCAAGGCTGAAGATGATAAGACACGACAGTTGAACAAGCACACATTGATGGCCTTCTCTGGCGAGTCTGGAGATACCGGTATGTAGCTTCTCCGATGACACAAACAAGGTGCTAATGAGATACCTATGCTAGTCCAATTTGCCGAATACATCCAAGCCAATGCCGCCCTCTACAGCATGCGCAATGACACCGAACTCAGTCCCTCTGCCGTTGCCAATTTTGTCCGGGGAGAATTGGCGCGCAGCTTGCGGTCACGGAGTCCCTACACAGTAAACCTGCTGCTAGGTGGTATAGATCCGGTCAATGAGAAGCCTCATCTGTATTGGGTTGATTATCTAGCGTCGCTGGCGCCCCTACCATATGCTGCCCATGGCTATGCCCAGTACGTTTCATGGCCCGTAACGACGGTCGATACGAAAGTCCAGGCGAGAGAAAACTGATGCTGACTCTGCTAGATACTACTGCCTCTCCATCCTTGACAAACACCACCATCCAGACTGCTCCTTTGAGGAGGGCCTTGCGCTTCTCACCCTGTGCACAGACGAGCTGAAGCGCAGACTACCCATTGACTACAAAGGGGTAAGTTCCTTAGGAAGCCATCCTCAAATGCCACTATTCTGACACAATTATCCACAGATGCTGGTGAAGGTCGTTACAAAGGACGGTGTGCGAGAAGTCCCTGTGGATAACGATAAGGTGGTCCGCAGTGCTTGAAGGTCGACATATCATGGCGTTTGTTGTATCAGATCTTATGACGTTTTTCTTTGATTCCGAGATAGTCCAACGGTCGGCATGATTTAGGCCGTAGGAAGCCTGTAGCAAGCTTGGAAATCAAGTAAGGAGTAGATTCCTAGATGGTCTTCGATAAATAATAGGCAAATACAGCCCTATAAGCTCACTGCTCGAAATGAACAGCATTTTGTATAGAACGTACACCGCTTGGCATTGACCTGACGGGTGTTTGACTTGTTTGCATCTTGAGTGTGGCATCCCGAGCTCTGTAAAGCCAAGAACTCCATGATCACCAACTTTTCGAGCCAAGCCATCCCATAATGTCGAAAAGACATGCAGAGCTCCCCTTGGAGCAAGATTTCTCTGGCTCACCCATATCGAAAAAGGCGCGCATTGAGGACGACAATGATCCCGATTCTCTCAACGGCGCAGTGCCCGCACCCCGAACGAGCGGCGAAGAGATGAGACAGGATGGTCGCAATGGTGTGGATGTCCAAGCAGCAGCTGAAATAGAAGGAGAGGAGCTCGAGGAGGGCGAGAAAGATCCCTCTGGACTCTCGGATATTGACGATGATGCACCTGCACTCAGCGCTCCGAAGCGGCAAAGCGCTCCCATGGAAGGCTACGGCGACCTGTACCTCGACACGATCAACCGTGAAATCCTGGATTTCGATTTCGAGAAGCTGTGCTCCGTCAGTCTGTCAAACATCAATGTGTATGCGTGCCTCGTCTGCGGTAAATACTTCCAGGGTCGTGGTCCGAAATCGCATGCATATTTTCACGCCCTTGAAGTTGGACACCACGTCTTCATCAACATTGGCACGAAGAAGGTATATGTTTTGCCTGAAGGATATGAAGTCAATAACAAGAGTTTAGAGGATATCAAATATGTGGTCGATCCACACTACACAAAAAACCAAGTGGTCAAGCTCGATAAGGAAGTACATGATGCCTGGGACCTTTCTGGGTCGAGGTACAGACCAGGTAAGAGCCTGTGCCATTATAGGATCGAAAGTTCTTTTTTCGCTAATTGTTTTCCTTTCCAGGGTTTGTCGGCATGAACAACATCAAAGCCAACGACTACGTCAATGTAGTAGCTCAACTACTGGCACATGTTTTGCCAATTCGCAATTTCTTCCTCCTCCACGAATTCCCTACTCCCGGCACACCAGAGATCATTCTTCGTTTCAGCACACTGGTGCGCAAGCTATGGAACCCTAAGGCGTTCCGGTCACATGTGTCTCCACACGAGTTACTACAGGAGATTGCCGTACGATCCTCGAAACGGTTCACTCTCACGAACCAGGCAGATCCCGTGGACTTCTTGTCTTGGTTCCTAAACTGCCTGCATCTCGCCTTAGGGGGATCCAAGAAGCCCTCGCAAACACCCACAAGTGTTGTTCACGCAGCGTTTCAGGGGCGTGTACGGATCGAGAGTCAAGCTATCACTGCTCACTCCGACACCCAAAATGCCCGTTTGGTGTTCACTGAATCTGGCACAATCAATAGCCAGGTTACTCCTTTCCTCATCCTCACGCTGGATCTACCCCCCACACCCCTCTTCCAATCTGCCAATCGGGAGTCGAGTATCCCACAGGTCCCCTTGACTACCCTCTTGAACAAATATAACGGCTACACGGCGTCAGAGAAACTGGCACACCGTGTCCGACATCGTCTCCTCCATCCTCTTCCTCCATACCTTTTCTTCCATATCAAGCGCTTCAGCAAGAACCGCTTTGTCTCCGAGCGAAACCCAACCATTGTCACCTTCCCCTCTCCGCACTCCTTGGATATGTCCCCCTATGTCGAGCCAAATCCTAATATTTGCTCACCGGGCGAGCCGATTCTCTACGATCTTGTGGCAAACATCATCCTCGACCCCGCTATCGCCGCACCCGGTGCAATGGATGACGCTGTGGATAAGGGCGTTAACGCCGCGTCGGGGGCCGGTGGTTCCAGCGGAGCAGGTGGCGGCAGCGAGAAGGTGTCATGGCTTGTCCAACTTCATGATAAAGCTATGGAGGCCGAGAACACTCGCGCCAAAAATGGCGGTTCCACAGAGAAGCAGCAGCAGGGCCCGGAGTGGCTTGAGATTCAGGATTTGTTCGTCAAGCGCGCGGAGAGCGAGACGTTGTTCACTCGGGAAGGATATCTTATGGTCTGGGAGCGGCGCAAAGTGCCAGGAAACAAAGGAAAGGGACGTGCATGATTAGAGATAGTTAAATCTGAGGAGTTGGCTTGGGCTTCGAACTTGCTATTGTCTTCCACGCTTTTTGTCTTTGAGAGCAAATCCAATGTACCATCAGTGAATGAAAATGTGTAAATGCAATCTCGTCAAGATACAAGACTGTGCTCCAAAAAGATTATACCGTACAAAGCACCTCATATAGTGGGGGAGCACGGGACTGAAATTTTCCTCATTGAACGTAACTCTGAGGACCTTCATGAATAAAAGTGGAGGCAGCTATATAAGAAGGGAAAGCCCCTACCAGTGGAAATAGAGGAATAGAGGAAATATCCACGGATGGTAGGTCACTCTTACATATGTAGTAGGTATTGAGGCGGCTAAAAGAAACAAGTATTACAGGTATTCGTTACAAGTTTCCCCAGCCGCAGAAGTTCCTCCCTATCCTCATGGTTGAGCCCACCAGGAACCCCCAAATCCCCGCTCTCATTGCAACTTGCATTCCTCTCATGAGCACGAGTCGGTAGGAATAAGCACATATTTTTGGCCAAGTTCTCCCGCCAAACCACAGACCCAATGGATGGACATCTGAGAGATGGGTAATGGAGGTAGGGTGTGAGATAATCCAGGATCGGGTCAATGAGCGAAGGTAAAGTGCTTCAAGCGGCGCGAGGATTATGCCGCTGATTACAGCAGCGAGATGAGATGCGAGGGAGTCGACTGGGTATGCCGAAAGGAGGGTGACGCGGTGGGCTTGCGACAATGTGTTTGTCAGTTGTCCAGGGATCAGAGAAGAGGGTAGAATTGGCTGGACGAGAGTGTCGGATTGGGTGTCTTCATTATGGTCTGTATCTGCGACAGGGTTCGATTCATTGGGAGGCTCTTCCTCATTTGGTTCTTCCACGCCATCTGGGAGAATGTTTGGAACGATGGACCCTAGTGTCTCCTCGATTGACTCTAGAGTTGGAGCGTCGTTGGCTTGGGTTTCTGGGGCGGGAATTTGAGAGTCTAATTCAGGGGCACCCAAGTCTTGGGGGGTTGTGTTGGACGGTCCGGCAGTGATACTTGAGAGGCCATCCGTATCTGCTGCCGCTAGGGCCTGCTGTGCCTGACGCTGGGCCTGACTTATGATCAGAGCCTCGAGGAACTCGGCTATGGATCGTCTATCCACGGCGTCTGGATTTGTATTTGAACCTGGCACATCATTTCCCGCTAGTGCATTCAGCTGCGCGGGATTTGAAACTTGGATCTGCGGGTGACGGTTCCGATTGCCCATCAACTCAAGCTGCATCGTGATAACGTCGGAGCTCTGGTGAATCAAGGATGCTCTTACGCGAGGTGACGTAGGAGGTGATGTTTCTGGTGATGATGGGCGAGAAAAGAGAGTATTAGATCGCGAAATCTGTCGGTCCACGACGAAATCCTCGCCATTTTGCAAAGGTGCTGTTTGGTCCTGCTGGGTTGAACTGGGCGAGAGACGACTCGTTCGTCCAGCAGTAGCTATCTCCGAGAAATAGTCATTGCTCATTTCCCCGGGTGATTGAGACATACGGTTTTCATTTGTAAGCACCTGATTCAACCCAAGAACAGATTCTGCCTGAGTAAAATGCATGGGTGGAGGTGCATCGTGTGGACGTGATCGTGCTCGTGATGCAAGAGCGGCAACCTGGGCATCGGGAGTGATCCCCGGCGGTCTAGGCACGGGGTCATTGGGGCCTCCTTCAGCACCAAGGTTGACGTGGACCCCGTCAAGTTCATTTTGCAACAACTCAATCGAATTGCGTAGATTTTCAATCCTCTCGTCTCTGAAGGACCGGAGAGCTTGCTGCTCTGAAAATTGGTTCGATCTCAGTCCAAAGAGCGATGATACCCATCTTCGAAAGACGGCCAGCTCGAACTGGATGTCTTCGAATAGTGTGAGCTTGCCGCGGTGTAATTCCTCGTCTGATCTACGGCCCAGAGTGGGCACGACCCACTCTATCAGGTTTTCTTCAAAGGCAACGCGGACTGAGAGTTCATCAGGAAGAGCTGGTTTAGGAAGGTGTCGTCTGATCAACCGATAGATACGCTCTTCAAGCTCTGGTCGCAGGTAGTAGCCATAGAGAAACACTAAAGCACCAGGGGAGATCAACAATTCCACGAGCGTGGTCCCCAGTGAGCGAGGGGAGAAATCCGTGGGCAAGGATGGCAGCTGTAGCAAAGATTCTCTGCTGAAGGGAAGCAAAAGTTGCGCGCCGGGGATTCCATATGGAGACACAAGGGAAAGAGATTGGAGTGTGGAGTACATGTAGAACTCCATAGACAACATGAGCACAGAATTTCTCGCCCTTTATTCATAATTAGTTAGTTGTCTTGTATATATGAACGGACCGAGAATATACTCACGCCGTATATAGAAGCCCGAAAAGAGAACGAACACCGAGTGAGTCGCCCGTCAAAGACTGAACATAGTCCCGCAGAGAGACAAATACCCGCTTCAGCGGGGTTTCACGAGCTATAGCCAACGCACTGGACATTGCCCAGGCAGGAATTCCCGAAAAGTAGAAGCTAATAATCCCTGTGTGGTCCCTCTCAGACTGTATGATGCTGAGTAATGCGGAATGGGCATAATGCCGGTAAGTCTGAATGTCAAGTCTCGAATGTCAGCCCAATCAAAGTAGTATCGGCAGTGCATTTACCTGTACTCGACTGGTGACTGAAGAGGTCCACCAGGTACCGAAAAAGATGAACAGTTGATCAAGAGTTGTTATGACCAGTCCGAAGTCATTTTCACTAGCAATCTGGTTGATCTTTTGCT